GTTAACAGGTCAAAACCTAAACAAGTCAATAAAAATATGAACATTTATTAACTTATTCCCACCACCACATATACATAGAAGAAAATAAATAACAATGATAATAATATGTTTGGAGGTGGCTGAGTACTGTAAGGACTGAAGGTCCAACAAGATTACACAAAATCAAAATCATGCAAAGCAAATCTCAGTAGTCAAATACCAACTCCCAAAACACCAGAGAGAGGGTATGCTACTTAACTTAAGGCAGTTGTGCCTAGACTGACTAGAGTGTACCAGTAGGTCTCCGACGTCGCCTCTCTACCGTCGAATACTGACGTATTATATCCCTATTGGCCAAACCGTAAGCTTTATCTAAATTACCTATTGACATTAGTTCCACTTACCTAACCTATATACAAACCTAATACAATATACCTGTAATATAATACACTCAAACATAATACACAATGTAATAAAGTTAATACTTAAATGACGAATCATTCAGTGTGGGCGAGTAATGAGCGAAACTGCTCAAGCTAACCACACACCATCCAAACCAACGTATTTCATACCAAGAACAGAAACTTATGGCGTACCCACTCGTAACACATTACTGTACTCATTTTGTACTCAATGTATTACGCTAAAGGACTAAAAATTTTATCTTGTGCAAATTATAACATGTTTAGACTCAAATTCATCGTTACCTTGCAAGGATTCCAGTAATGCAAATTATATTCTCTTAAGGCAAGTCTGTGACATTTTATAAGAGAAAACTTTAAGCCTAAAACAAAATTCATCCCATTAGTTGTTATCACCTCCATCTGCCTCCCCTGCTAGCTGGGAGGGGAGATTAACATGTACTTCAGGATTATAAAAGACAGGGAGTTTTAAGTTTTTTTGCTTATAAACTGCCACTGACTTGATTTAGCAGAACATAACATGCATTACTGGAATTCTTGTAAGATAGCGATTAATTTGAGTACAAACATCTCATATTTTGCACAAGATAAAGAAATTAACTTGGTACATTTGAATACTGGTTGTGATAATTTATGCGGTTGCTCAGCAGTTGCGAAGCTTTGTGACATCACTAGTGTTTAATGCTTCTCCATATGCCCTGGTTTATTCATTGATCAGTTGTCTAAGTGCAAAAGTAGCCCAGTCGAGGTTTTGTGTTTATTAAAGATATCTTCAGGTCATGAGACCCACCAATCCCCCACCCAAGAAAGGGTGACCTGACATTCCATCAAAAGGTCAGAAAATATGAGACTACTAATCCCCCACCCTACCTTCACCTGACTTTGTGTCGGGTCAGTTACGTAGACCCATTAATCCCCTGCAACTCCATGGGTGTGGAAAATACCAGTCTCTGCTGTAACACACAGCTTCTTTCACGGCCGTATCATATAGATTTTTAATTTTTAAATATACTTATTCCACCAAATGTTTAGATAAACCATTCTGGATTATTATAGTAAAGGAATGGATTTTCTAACTTAATTAGAACTGCATTTATGGACTTCAGTAGTTTAGAGGAAAACATCCCCAGCACCCAGAAACATTCTGGGGCTAGTGTGTGTCTGTGCAAAATGTCTTGTTTAGACACTCTGAAACTTTTCCCAGTAACCGGAAAAGATTTTGGGGATAAGGAAGTTTCCTGAGTTTGAAAAAGTTGTTTGGTTAACCGGAAATCTCGTATCCCCGGAAGTGCTCTGCACCAAGTGTTCCGGCTGACAGGGACATCACTGTACTGAACTGTATAGTACTCAGTGTCAACTGCAATATAGGGCGTCCTCATTATCCGAGCATAATATGGACCAAATAGAAAGACTAAAGTAATTCCATGGATGAAGGGTAATTAATTCCCATAAGAATCAATAGGATGAGGGTCTACCACATTGTAAATTACACTCAGAACATTTATATACCTAAGAAATATTTAATCAACATTTGATTATGAATTATTTTACCAAATTATTAAACTTTATAGCTTCAAGTCGTTTGTGGTCGGTGTGTTGATGTAACTTAGGCTACCAACCAATCGGTCAGCCAACTGCGTACACATGTACTCGTACACTCATTTTAATGAAATACAATGTTAGGTCACCCATTGCATATGCTCTCACATTTGGAGTGAAGGTGGGATGGGGGATTAGTGGTCTTATGTTACTGACCTGATGCAATTTCAGGTCACCCATTGTTGGGGTGGGGGATTAGTGGGTCTCATGACCTGAAGCTTAGGTATTCTAGTGTCTACTTTTTCCTACTTTCACATTTACTGAATGTACAGTACAATATATGTAACTGTAATCACTTTTCATGTCGTAATGCTGCTTTGACCTTGTACAGTATTCTTGGCTTGTATAATGGAAGAGGACTGTAAACTAATTGTGTCATGATGCTAGGCTTACAGGGGATAGGCTAGGAAATGCATAGCTTATCATGGGTATCCCATGCAGTCTCATGACAGCATTGGCCAATTGAACTGTGCGAGCCAAAGTTCCAAGTTACCCAAGTGGTCTTCCGTAACTCCCGGAACCTTTTTCTCCAGACCTGGAGCAGAAAGGTTTGGAGAGATTTTCTCCTAATTTTTCTGTTAGTTGTGCAATATTTTATTCTGTAATTTGTTCCCCAAACTTGGAAAAAACCAATTTTGAGATATTTTCTTGGATTTTCCCAGAATTTTCTGCAAAATATGGCTAATTTTAAGACCCAGAATTAAGAAAAATCTGGGCTAATTTCAATTTCGGCTTGTGGAGAATTCCGGGAACCGGACATTCCAGCCTTCCCTCTTCCTTTCCCTCTGGTTATACAGTTTGGCAGAGAATTTATCAAACATTTTGTCTGTGATACTATACTGTATCCAGGTCCTTTAAGCATATCATCATTATCAAATCATACTTTTCATTACCAAACAGATTTTTCATTACAAAATTTCCTTGAATTTGGTACAGTACTGTAATGGAAAATACCAAATGGAAACCATACAGCTGAGATCTCTAGGATGTAGCAGGAACTTGCTCACCAAGTGCACTAATCCCGAGAGTCAAACGCTGCAGCCTTGGTCACAAATTTTGAAGACTTGACAATGAAATTTCAAAAAGAGGTAGTAATAGAGTTACCCACAAATTTGCATGAACAAATTTGAAAGTTAGGAATTATCGTGACTCCACTGTATTGGAATAGTTTCGGAAGGGCAAGAAGACTACCCATTTAGCTACTTCATTGATAGAGTATTCGAATAATTATTAAATGTTTTAGGACTTAGTCAATGAAGGCTCATCTATTGTATGTAGATTGACTGAATGGTTTGTTCTGGTTGTAGTTCTTGGCATGGCTGCTTTGATTGTGTAGCATTGCCATCTCCTATGCTTTCAGTCTCTCATTTCAGCATCATGGTGAAAGCCATTAAACTCTTAACCAGGTTGCATTCCTTTCATGTATGACCTCAGGGAAATCAAACCTTTGACTTTTTTAGGTTGTATCACTTAAGTCTATCCTTTAGATAGGAACTTGGGTATAGATAAAAATGTTCATCTCAGGATATGTAGACGAGACTGCCAAGCCACTGGACTGTGTGATGCTTCAGAGAGTATGAGGCCAATTACTTTTTAACATAGTTCCTGGGATAAAGAGAACTGTCTGCCTTTTGGTGCAAGCTTACTTGGAGTAATTAAGTTGCCATATTTATTATGTGAGTTTTAAATAAAGGATTGATCCTGAAATTCCATTTTATAACCAAGCATGGATTGGGCAACTCAGATCCCTTGTTCCTCCTTTAGTGTGGTGAGGTGAGGTAGAAGCAAGGAATATTGGAATTTCATGCCAAGTTTTTAACCATAGCAGTTGGTTTTGTAGTACAGTATGTATGTGTTGGGTTAGGACCCAACTCTTGGCTTAACAGGGATGAACAAATACTGTTGATTCTGAAGTCCGAAAACATGGGAAATCTATATCTACTTATCCATCAAACTATCTATCTACAGGCATCCCCAGTGTTATGGTATTTTGGGTTACAGAAATTTGCCCCTACGGAATTTTGAAATTATGACCCAAAGATTGGGATACGAAAAAAAAACACATCCTTGCGGAATTCTGGTAAATAAAAAAAAAAGAAGTGATTTTTAACCTATATTTTTACCAAATTTGTAAAATTTATTTCGTGTGGATTCTCGGTGGTAGCCACAAGGCAGTTGGGAAGGCCACTCACCTCCCCAGTTGTCAGCAGCCACCACAACAATGGCACTGCTCAGTTAGAATTCTTTCGCCAGTTTGTGTTCAGTTATACTTCTGTGTTACTGTGTACTTTTAGTCAAGGCGAATGGAAAAAGACCATCAAGTTCAAGTGAAAGCAGTGGTGATAAAAGATTCCATAAAGGAATTGCGTTGGACATCAAACTTGATGTATAAGGAGGTAACTCGCAGTAACTTCTATCGCACCACCTCACCTCCTATACCACTTAACATCGCTTCTGGAAGTAAAATTATCATATTACATCATGAATGACTTATTGTATGTGGTTTAAGCTGTCTATTTTCGTACATATAACCCTTTATGTGCTTGTGTTTCGTTTTTGGGCATCAAAAATTTCATAGGAACGCATCTCAACTTATATAATTGGAGTGAATGGGAAAAATGGTTCGCAATATGGAATTTTTCGTTGCGGAAAGATTTTCAGGAACGGAACCCTTCCGTAACCCAGGGGATGCCCGTACTGTACTTCCTTTTCTCACCTAAGGGGTCAAATGATAGAGAAAGTGGTGCAAAGAGGATAGGCAGCAACAGGAGTTGGCTGAAACAATAAGCAGGAACACTCCACACACTTCATTTTTTTCTTCAATAACTTGTACCGAAAAATTCTGTTTTCCTGATCTGCACAAATATGTGTTAGAGTTTCTTTTATTTTAAAAGAGTAGTGCTCTAAGGATTTAGATGATATTATTTATTTTGTACAACCTTTTAACTACATATTTTACTTGTATCTAAAACATAGAATTTAGAAGTTGCTTGATTTCAGACAAATTCTTTAAGTGATGAGGAAGAATTTCGACCTCGTAGAGGTCGTGGACGTGGACGAGGTTTGGGGGGAAGTAGAGGTGAGTGTAAAATTATCAACCTTTATTTTGACTTATAGTTATACAGTATAATAATAAAAAGATTTGTATTAATTTTAAGGCATGCTTTTGATAAGATTATTCCCAGGCTTATCCCCTTTTTTGTGGTTGTAATAGAAAATTTATAAGTACAGTACTGTACATTAAAACTACAGTGATTTTAACTAAGATTGAATCCGGGCATCCATGACAATAAGTGATTCCCTCACTCACAAATTATATCTAACAATGTTAATAGTATTGTAAGGTCTCATGGCAAGGGTTTTAATAATTATCAGAACAATGAATAATTATAATTTTTTTTTTTGCTAACCAAAAATTGGGAATTGTTAATAAATGACTCGGCCAAGAAGGTTGGTGTTGAACCCTAATAACAAACACTAGGGTTGAGAGAGGTGCTCTTTGGCGAGATGCTGGATACTCGCCTCACTGCACTTAACTGAACCGCACGAGAGATAATTGAACGTAATGAGTCGTGGCAAGTTCGTTATTTGAGATAAAATGGTGGAGTTTGTTGCATTAGCATTGGCTGAGAACCACATGTGCAACACTTTATTTTTCCTTTTTGCCACAATGATATACCAGGCAATTCCTTTCACACTAGGACTGTTTGTTGAAGGGCCAGACAAACTATCACTTGCACTCGAAGGGCCAGGGACACTGGGAGGCACCACACTATCACCACGTGGTGCAATCTCTGTACTTTTTATGTTTTCCCACCCCTCCACCTTCACCAGCAATGCGAGGCATAGTTCAAAACTATCACAACACTGTTATAATTAAGTTAAATCACTGTGATAAATGAGGAATCGGCACAAGCTGCTAGAAAATGGTGGGAAATGTAGGTCAAGGTTACGTCCCGTGCTGTTGAACCACAAAGGGCGAGTGGTGTGGTCACTCCCATAACCTTGGAGGTAGTCTACATTGGTGCCAGATCAAACCAACTTTACCAAATGCACGCTTTGAGTATCGAGCGTTCATGCGCAAACCTAAAATTATTGTAATTTTCAAGTTCATATGGAAATTTGCATATGAAAGCCCTAAACCGATAGCTTGGATCATACACAAATGTGCATATGAAAACCCCAAAAGTATTAAGTATGGGAATTTTTTTTTTGTGAAACAATACATTGGATGATTGCTTTTGAAAGTATTAAACAGAGATCCAATTATTTCCTCTAATGAATAAGAAATCTATTTACATTTATCTTGGCCTTGAGCTAGCAGTTTGTCCATTTTTAATATGAGCAAATGCTTGGATTTTTTTAGGTTGAAGAAGGGGAGCAATAATAATGGACGAGTTGACTGTCGGAATTTGTTCGTAAGATGGCAGGTCAATGGGTAAAGAAAACGCTTAAATTCACTATGGTAATGATATTTTTAAAATACATTAGGTCAAAAAGTGTAAAAAATAGGGTTAAAATTACTAAAAAGTTAAATGACTGCAAAAAGCTGTGATTGGTTGCGGCGTCATTGACTAGTGCGAGCCGCAGAGCGGGAGCCTCGAGGCAGCAGCTGTGGTGTGTGTGTTGTTACCAGCAGAAATACAGGACTTGTGGCCATATACAATGTTGAAGCAAAGCACAAAGAGTCGTTGGTGCTTCGTGCCAATGTGCAAGAGTACCGACAAATCCTCACCAGGCAAAATTTTCATCACAGTACCGAAAGATAAGTAGTTAAGAAAGAGATGGTGGCTTGCTGCTTGACTGCAGTTCCTCATGTCAGAATACTGCATCTACTGTTGTGAAGATCATTTTGATGTGAGTATTAAGTTGATATACTGTACGCAGGCATACCTTATTTTTAGGTTAAAATAAATTACTGCTCAAGTATCATCGTGTGTATTTACTTGCTGGCTGCCAAAATGATGCAAAAGACCGATAACACCAACATGGAAGTTTTCACCACTGTTCTCTATTTCATGTTTGGAAAATGTAAGTTCATCATTGATGTCTATATTTAATGTTGTGGAAGGACTAGGGACGACCATGGCCGGGGAATGATCAGATGACAGATGTAATTTAACGTGCTTCATAGCTGGCTGGCCGAGTTCTTCATAATACTCTACTATCCTATTGACGTCTACTTTTGGTAAATTTCTTTCATCTGCCTTGATGAACCCTGAAAGTAGTTGTCCAATCATCTCAGCTGATCGGCTCTGTAAATAAATATTATAAGATAATTAATTGTGCTTTACTGTGCAACACAGTAATACTACAGTATATTGAATATATAAATATTATTAAGCACATTAACTAATTCAATGGATATTAGCTGCCTATACTACAAGTTTCATAGTATATACATTCCAAACAGTATTGATAATTTTTTGGATTTGGTCATCTGGGGAACCTTAAGAGTCTAACTATGGGATGAAGTACTTTAAACAATAAGACACATTATCACTTCGGGATTTCTGTTGCAAAACATTTTTTGATTGCATCAGAAAATACAAGTCATATTTTAGGTTAAGGTATGGTGAGTTATAAGGTTAGCTTAACATACATCGGTAAGGGGGGGGGGGGGTAGTAACTCAAAACTAGTGATAGAAATGAAGGTCTAAATCGTTCATAACACATCACAAACCACCAGTAAAACATAGTCTGCATTTCTATTTACAGGGATGACCAAAAGTTAACATTTACCCAAAATATAGCCTATCTTGAAACTAAGCATCCAAATACTTATGGTAGTTAAAGTAAAAATTTCCCCAATAATTAATATAAATGATGATATATCCCAGTGGTTGGCAGGTGGTTATGTCATTGCAAATGGCGGCCCTGTTACAAGAGAAATAACTTATCTAGACTATTATAGCAGGACTTTAAACTTTTACTACAAATTATTTATACCGTATCACTCTATGAACGTGGCAGAGTGTATTTCTTGTGTTTACCCAGAACCGTCAACTCGTCCATTGTAGCCTGGCTTACAAAGTCCCTATAATGAGTGCTGTCTTGTGGTCTCTTAATACATTGCAAGGGTTTGGATCTCCTGCCATCACTGAAGTCTGGTCTCTTTGTTTTGACCAGTTAAAAAGACTTGACTCAAAATTAAAAGAATGGTGAAATTTGGAGTATCGCTTGAGTACAGATCTAATGCCATAACCATTAACCCTTAAGCCCCAGGTTAGGGTGCTGCTGGCAGTACACACACACACACACACACACACACACACACACACACACACACACACACACACCCCCGTGGGATAAATCGAGAAAAAATCAACTTTTCCAAATATAATAAATAAAAAATAAAAAAATTGACGGGAAAATAGGCAGACGTTCTCGAACGTCACCCGGGGCCTAAGGGTTAAACATAATTTTTAGATGATTGTTGGTGATTGCTTTTTTTTAGCAGATTCATTTTGTAAATTACTCATACCTTTAAAGTAAACAAAATTGATTTAAGCATTTGCTTCTTTGAATGCCATTATGATCAGTAGTTGTCATCATGCAGAATGGTTGAAAGCTTAAGAAAATTATTGTGTTCTTTTATTAATAATATTGTTCTTTTATTTAAATTACCCTGAAATGTTAATGCATGTTGAATATATACTGTAGTGGTACTGTATACAGTGAATCTTATTACAGGACAGGTGTACTATATGTAAAATGCTTGTGTTGAGAAAGAATGTAGAATGTTTCTCATTAAACTGTATGGCTTATAGAAATTTACTTAGTTTGTTTAAGTTTGTTCATTTGTAATTTATAATTTTATGGGTGTACAGAACTGGGATTTGAAAATAACTGATCTTGCTCTGCCTTTACCCTAAGGCGTATTCATTTCTTCAGGTCGTGGTTCAGGTAGAGGTGGAGTCAAGCGAACATTGGATAGTAATAGCGGCAAAGTTTCCTCTAGTGGTGACAAATCGTCCTCCCCTGGCGCAACTAATCCTCCGAAGAGGCGTGGCCGGCCCCCGACCTATCAGACGGTGACAGTAGTCAGTGGCGGCGGTAGTGATGGTGGCGGGGAGGATAACGTAGTCATAAGTGTAAGTTCTTCTGTTTTTTTATTAGCATGTTAAAGTGTTGGTAATATGAAGATCTGTTGGCTCAAGATTGGAGATGTTTAATTTGGAACAATATTCTGAAAACTGATTGATTAAATTCACGTGCTCATAGACGGATGATAAGAAATCACCATCCAAGCTGAGCTCTGCCTACAACTATGCCGGCGGTCGAGTCCAGCGCCAAAACCAGGCAATCCGGCTGCCAGAGGGGCCTCAGCTTACTGCTGAACAGCTTAAAATGGTTGAATCTCAGTTCAAGGTTAGTAAATCATTGGCATAATGTACAATATTTTTTTAAAGAGGTAAGTACCTGATCTTCCCAGTTAAGCGATACAACTACTTTTCAGCTGGGTTGTTGACTACTTGCCATGGATGCATGTAGTAAAGTAATTAATTTGATATGATCTATATCAGTCTTTCTCAACTCATTAAAGATCTTTATTGGAACCCTTAAAGCTAACTTATGAAATTAAAAGGGATATGTATTTGTAAAATTCTGGATATTATACAATAAACTCATCTCAAGCCAAAAGTTCATATTACGACATGCATGCACATATTGTACAGTAAAACCTTCTTTTCTTTTTAAATAGATGTTTGGCGCTCATGTCTATTTTATGTTTTTTAATATATTGTATTAGATTTATTAAACTATATTCTTTGCATGTGCTTTAAAATAAAGACTTAAATATACTTGTTAGATATTTGTTCACCATAAATAGTTACATGTAATTAAGAGACAAGAAAACTGTTTGGATCTTTAGAAATAAATAAGGTCAAATATTTTGTTTTGTTTTGTTTGGAGATGAATTATCCCAAATACTGCCTAATAGCCACCACTTGGGAAGTATAGATGCTATAGTCTGTTCTCTCAAAGCTTGCAACTGAGGCCTAGGTTCACTTTGTAGCAAGGCAGATGGACACCCCAAGAATCATTGCAGATCATTAGTACTGTATTTAATGTATTGTACTTATATTATGATATTTGAATGTGTAATAACCTTTTTCTGTGCTAATCTCTGATAATTTCTGTATTTGGGGAAGCAAAAATTAGCATGTGAAATGATCTGCTAATAAAAACATCATAAAGAGAACACGAGCATGAGGAACAAATTATGGGACGTAAACTCTTCCTCGCCAGATGACATTACGTAGTGTGTCTGGAATTTTTTATTTTATTTTTTCTTGGTCTTATCATATTTTTATTACCAGTGTGTTTCACATACTAATTTTTGCTTCCCCAAGTGTGGAACTATCAGAGATCAACACAGAAAGATTATTATCCCTTCAAATATAATACTGTATACAGTCACCTCTGAATTTACATGGATTTAATTTGCACATTTCTGAAATAACACTAGAATTAAATTAATAACTATTTATAAAATAACACAAAGTTTTTTAAATAGCGAGGTTTTTAAAAGAGCACTATTGCGCCGGGCAGTTCCCGTACGCCGTCCCAGCCATCATTCAACGTGTTAGCACTGTATTATTGGGTTTGTTTCTACTATCGTATTATTATTATTTGATTATTATTATAATTGTTATTGTATTATTATTGTAAATAAAACTTATTGAAGGAAATAGATTAAGAAATTACAGTTTTTAGGGAGCATTTCCCCTAGCCCCTGCCATTTCCTTTATTTCTTATGGGATAATTTAGTTTGATTTACATGGCCATTCTCAAGAACGTTACTACTTTGTAAATTGAGAGATGGCTGTAAATACAATACAGTAGATTACAATACTAAAGAACTGCAATGATTCTTGGGGTTTCTGTCTCCCAATTAATCATTTGTCTTGCTACAAACTGAACCTAGACCTCAGTTGAAAGCTTTGAGTGAACAGACTATAGCACTGAATCCTCCTCCTCCTCCTCCTGTATTATCCTCTATGATTTATCCTTTCATTAGTTGCTGATCACCACTTGGAATGTACGGTCATGGAAAGAAGTCGTGTCATTCCTCCATCCCATCCCCATCCGTGAACCCTGAAACTCGTGAACCTGTACAGAATCCGAGACATCACATGACCCAGTGTGCCATCTATGGACCTTACAATGTGTGATGTCTCGGATTCATAGTTTCATGAGTCTCAAGGTTCATGGATGGGACAGAGGAATGACAGTACTTTTTTCCATGATCGTAGTTTACTCTTGTTGTGGTTCACCAAATAAATATGGTCCTGCTGAGAGAAAAAACACAAGGTTGAGAAATTTCTATGCTCATACAAATTACAGATCTCCATTTCAAAAATCCAAAATGCATGGGACCAGGGCCCTCTCATATGTCTGAAATTTTCAGTTAACTGAGGTCATTAAAAAAACACTAATACAGCATGCCTTGACAATTTGCGGATCTCGATTATTCACGGATGGCACCCTGGATGTACCCAGGAATGTCTCAAGGGTAGTTTTAAAGTGGCTGGCATTTTTGCGGCCGGGACAGGGAACCATTCGTTCTAGAGACAAAACACATACTGTACAAATAGATAATAATGAGAAAATCCTCTCGCAAATAATCAGAAACAAGACACAAAATGTATTAAAATGTGAGTCAACCTCAAGTCAACTCCATGCTTTGTTATTAAAGTTATAACAAAGCACGAAGTTGACTTGAGGGGAGACTCACATTTTTAATACATTTTGTTGTCTTGTTTCTGATTATTTGTGAGAGGATTTTCCCAGTTTTATTTGTTTGTATGTGTTTTGTGTGCATCTGTGTGTGTGTGTGTGTGTCTGTACACACACACATATATATATATACACTGCAGGTAAAAAATAATTGTGCTAAGGGCAAACACATAATGAAATATACATTTCTTTGCACACAAATAAAAATGTACCTCTCTTGGTCAGCAAATGTTATTTGCGGATTTGGCTATTCGCGGCAGTTGTGGAACCTAACCCCCGCGAATTTTAAGAGCATGCTGTATTTCAGTAAGCCCCAAATATGAAAAGTATAAAATAATATATAATACAGTATGTACAGTACAATTGAAATTAAACTAACCTAATTTAAAAGGTTAATAATAATACAGCGCAGAAACAAGTATTGGAGTCGATGAATTTCAGAATCAAAAGAGCGAGTCCTGTTGTCTTGGTAGGGTTGCCAAAATCCTTCATCCCTTGTGTCATATTTTCTCAACACAATTTTATATAGATAGATTTTTGAATGACTGTACCTACAGTTAAAGATTAGGAAGTATAGGGCTGTCTGGACTCCAGTATTTGAAGACATGATTTGGCTTTAGTGAGGGTAATATAATACTTGCTCAGTGAAGATAACTTTGTTTATTTACCTCTTCAGTCAGTAGAGTTGTGCTACACTGCCATCGCTCGGCGGCTCGGTGAACAAGCATGAGTGCGGTAAATTTAAAATACAGTAGACCCTTGTCATTCATGGGTTTGTGATTCGCGATTTCAACGATTCGCAATAAGTAGATGGTGATTATGGTGGCTAGCTTGTGAGCCTTTTCCCGCAGAGCAACGAGTCACCCCACACAGCATCTCGTGTTGTACTCTCAAAACTTTAGTGTTTCTGTGTGAAATGGCCCCTAAAAGACTGCCTAGTGTCAGTGCTAGTGATGCTCGTGGAGTGAAATGTAAAAGGCAGAAGTCAGTGATGACCCTGACAAAGAAAGTTGAATTATTAGATAAGTTAAAAGAGAGGATGAATGCTGCCGTTGCTGGCCGGTTGTTTGGTATAGGTATACAGTAGTGCACTAAGGTAGTAGAAGTTGCTATTCACGGTTTTGCTTATTCATGCCATTCCTTGGAACCTAACCCCCTCTCTCCCCCGCCCCCTCAATAACAAGGGTTTACTGTAGCTAAAAATGCCATCACTCATTTTTTTTTTTTAGAAGTTTTTGGTTAACTGTGGTCAAATCATGAGGAAAGTCACCCAGATTACTAACATCATGTTTATTAAGGGAGATAGTAGTGGATGGTGGTCAAGGCTCCTGGTGGCTGAGGCAGGGAGGAGAGGGTGCTGTGCAGTTGCCTGCTGTAGTGATAGGTGGGGAGACCTCCATCTTAGTTTCTACCATGAAACTTAATTCTGTTTTTTTTTTTTTTCAACTGCAGCATCACCAGAAGGCTGCACAAGGTGCTTGGGAGCTATTATGATGCATATGATACCGGTACTAGTGTACAGAAGGCAAAACTGCAACACTGCCTGTAAACAGACACAAAGTGCAGCAATACTTTTCTACTGCAAGGAGAGATGTGTTGTGACTGATACTGCTCTTACCCTCTGGGTTTCTAAGTTAAAACCTTTTTTCTTTTTTATGCTAACTGCAGCATTAGAAGGCTGCACAGGTTGCTAGGGATCATTATAGTAGTTACAGAATTAGTGAATAGAAGCCACAGACAGTAGGATTTCATGTTTTGCGACTAATTGGTTCCTGTTTTAGCGTCACGAAAGTTAAAATTGCGAAACGAGTGACATTGAAATACATGTAAATAAGCCTAATGAGTTCTGGGGTGTCACCCAAACCCCTCTATTATGACCTACAACCCACCAAGAAAATGACATTACTGTAATGTATTCATACATATTATATTGTACATATTGATGATAACTATATTTATATAGGGGGGGGTACAGTCATACTGTAGAATAACTTACCTGGATGGAATCAGTGAAATGCTTGATGGGGCTGTTTGATGGGTTCTGAGGCAGGGAGGGCTGGTTACTGCTTCCTCCCTGCTCCCTCTTCTACACCTCCTCTAACCTCAGCATCAAATCCCTCAAAGTCTTGAGGCAGCTCTTCCACCAGTAAATCACCCAATACTTCAATATCATTATCGGTGGTGCCGTCATCATCTCCTAAAGCGATGTTTGCCAAGGCATTAACAGGCAGGGCCTTGCACAGGTACCGAGTAACAAGGGCCTGCTGACGAGCATTAACACTGGACATGTACAAGGCCTTATATTCCTCCATACCCTTCTCAAGGGCAGGGCAGATAAGGCTCCGAGGATGAGGCCTGGTAACCTATTCTTCTAGCTGTTCACTGAGACGTGCGATGGTTGTGAGAAACTCAGTCAGCTGGCGTGTTGTAGGTTCACCAGGCTTAACGTCATCCTCTTGTGTTGGCTGCTGTTCTTCCTGTTCTTCATCCTCCTCCAGCATTTCTTCAATTGTCTGTTGCTGCTGATGTTGACCAACGATTTCTTGCAAATCTTTAACCTGAACATCTGAAAATCCCTGTGCTGGGACTGACCACGCTGCCTCCACGGACTGCCTCTCCCCGCTTGCCTTGGTCTGCTCTGCCCCACTTACCTCGGAATTAGCAAACAAAGGCTTCCATGCGTGTAGCACTGTTGCAACATTAATCTTATGCCATGCCTCAACAAATCTGTGCACTGGGGTCCAGACCCTCTCTTTTCATTAAAAAATTCCAATACTCTCTCACCCTCAACTTCTTGGACTCCCCCCCCTCCCATTTAATATTCCTGGTTCTGCCCCTGACGTGAAGATAAACTGTTTCACTGTCCATGCTAATACAATATTAACATTACTTTTGGGTGAGGTAGGATATGAATTTTGATGAGTTGGCCCCCAGAAAAATACCTAAATCGTAATGCGGCCCATGACTGAGGAAAAGTTGCCCATGCCTGCACTACAGTATGTCTTATCAGGTTAATTTTGACCTAACATTTGATTATAGTTTATACAAAAAGAAATGCTGAATGATATTTAGGTATATTGCTCAAAATCTCACTCTAACCTTTCTTAACTATTTAAAAAAAATAATGAAATAACCCTAATTATCTATCCTTATTTTGCTGAGGCATGACCTGTTTGAAAGTAAAGTAATATTTCTGGGAAATTTATCCTCGTTCAGAGAGGACTTCAAAACTTTTTATATAAATAATCACTGCCAGCCAAAGCTTTCATGTGTTTGTGTTGTTTCAGTTTTGCTATTCTACTTCTAATTTTGTCACCATTAACACAGTATTTTGGATAGTTTTTAATGGTGTGTTGATGTGGCTACTATTAGATTTAAGTTTGCTTAACTGTGTGTGTGTCAGGAGACTCTGGTTACTTACTGCACCTGTGTGGAAACTCACATGGACATCATTGTGGAAGGCCTCATATTGTGCTGCATTATTTTATGCATTATTGCATGACCATTGTTATTAGAGTTTGGCTCATGTAAGGTAGGGCATGTATTTTTCACTGGTTTAATGTAACTGATAATACACTGCATTGAAGAAAAGTGAAACCTTATATTGTTATGCCATGTATTGCAATGTTGCACAGGAGGGTCAAATGACACACAGAATTACTAAAAATGTTTATGGGTTCAGTTACAATTTGATAAAGCCCTCATTATTTAAGTGTAGCTTTGGTTTAGGAATTTGTAAAAGCATACAACATTGTACAATATAAAGGATGAACATCATTACTGTACTTATAAGGTCCTGGGAGTAGAGGTACCAAACAGTAAATGGTGCAGGTTCGTTGACTGCTTCGGGGTGAAGGATATAATAAATAAAGGGAATTTACTTTGGATAACAGTGTCAGAATGGTACTTTGTTTGACAAATGATCAGTACAGTAGAGCATAAACTGGACATTGAACATTCGAAGTATTGGGTTCAATTTTTCATAACAAAGCTACAGCCACAGCAATCTAATCCTTAAACTATCAATACATAAATATAACACAATAACACAACCAATGGTTATATGCCTAATATACTCACTAGAGCAGTACTGATATACAAAGCCTGAATAAGTTTTACCCAAGTTCAACAAACGTATGTCTGCCTTACTGGAAGTCCCTGCCGTGTCTGCCTCCTGACTGAGGGATCCCGTGCCTATCACTACTTAGTGTGAAACTTAATTTGGCTATTTAATACTTTAGTCTTAACTATTTTTAACACATTTGTTTGTCTTAATACATAACATTGAGCATCATATAACAACAATATGTCACCAACATCAGATACATCATCATCATTAGTATATCAATATACTTTACATCATTAACATTTACAAGTGGCAACAGTAAACCCAACCATCAAATAGAACATTCCAGCACTTGTGACAGTATTAATATTTATATAAACCTCATTCATTCTTGGTAGGTTATTTGTTATACTCTACAGTCGTGTCGCATCTTACAGGCATTCAACTTTACGAGCTTAGCTTAGGGAAAAAAAACGACACGGTGAGTAGGAGCATATGGCTGGGAGACATAACTGTTCTTCCACTTGCGTCTCACTCGGCCTCTGCTGTCGCGTGTACTGAGCAGGTGGGGGTTGTGTGCCTCTGCCAACCGACCCTTAGCAACAGTTGCTAAGGGTCGGTCGGTAGAGGCAGCACATCCCTACTGAGCTGCGATGCGGTGTGTGCACTGTCTTCTATAATTCTACTATTTTAGTTTTTTTATGCTTTCAATATTTTTCCAAAATATTCTTTGCTGAAATCAATTTGACAATCAGTGGCAAAGAGGATAAAGTAAACTTACAGCAGAGGTGATTGTGCGGTGTGCATTTAAACTGAAATAGGCCTAACCAGCTGAGTCGCCAGATGCACCATTGACAAACTGGCCACTGCTTCCACACTTACGACCACCTCCCACACAGAATACACATCCGTGCTCTTCATATTTCTTATTTTATACTTTTATATATTATATTTTCTTTATTTCTAAGTCATTAAGAGTACTTTAATGTGGCTTAACAATATGGAAAATACAGTAATATCTCTGTTAACTGGAATCCCTCTTAACCAGAACTCTCCGATCGCCAGAATTGAAATTTTCTTAGAAAATTGTTCCCAAAACTGTAATTTTCCGGAAAATTCTGGCTTTGGGAATGATTTTCCAATGGGCACATTTTCTGGAAAATTCCAAAAAATCCGGGGATGAGGGATTTTTTCTGGCGTTGAAAGACTTGTTTCGTTACTTGTAAATCTCTCATTCCCGGAATTGTTCTGCACCAGTTGTTCCGGCTAACGGAGATATCACTGTGTAATATAAAATTATAAAATAAGAAAAATAAAGAGCATATGTAGGAAGTAAATGTGTTATGAGGTGGTGAGTTACCGGGCTTTAAATGCATGACATAACATCACGGCATACAGACCTACAACAGTGGCCGCCGTATGTCTGAGTCGGCTGAGCTGGGTAATTGCCTGAACTGTGTTGCGAGCTGGATGTGTGGGAAGTATCCATGTGGAAGAACTTTGTACATAAAATAATATATACGCTCCCAGTAAATGTGAGGAATAAAAAAAAAATATTAAATAAAAGAAAAAAATGCTGTGTTGCCATTTAGCAGGAGACAGTGAGAGAGCAGAGCAGTGAGTGAGGAAACACCAGCTGTAGCTCTCTCCCTCCCACCCTCAGTGCTTGCTTCTACACACACACACTGATTAATTTCCTTTATATTTTTTACCTTTTGATAATTATTTTATACAGGTATATATTTTTTGGGGGGGCACATACTGTGTATGGTGCGCATTTAAATTGAAAAAGGCCTAACCAGCCAAGTTGTCAAATGCACTATTGACAGGTACAGTATACAGGGGGTATATAACCATGTGCTTTATGGGTGATTAAAGGGATTTTCAAGGCTAATTTTGACTACGTGTTTTTGGCTTTACGCGTCTTCTTCAGAACGTAACCCCCATGTAAGATGCGACACAACTTTACTGTATATAATATTATTATGAATTGCATTGTTTTTCTCCTTACTTGAGGTAAAGTTGTTTAAAACTAAAATTATTCTGCCCTTTGACATCTTACAATTAGAAACTATTTTACAGTATTAACAAATATTTGACTGAAATGAGAATCGTCTGATTAACATCTAGGAAAACCATGTGATTAGTTAAAGATAAGTACTGTATGTTTGAGTTTTAGAATAGTTTGTGATACAGAGTCATTGAGATCATGTATCTAATTTTGTGCATGTACTTATGCATTTGAGTGTGCACATGTGTGTGATTTAATAATTGCATTATATTGTAATTTTGATTAACTGTTTACAGTGCTAGAAGCACAAAAATTGGAAATACAGTGACTTGATTTGGACAGATGTACCCCTTTTTCATAAAAAAATTGCCATATTGTAAATGTTGCAGCTCATAGTTCTTTCTTTTTCTTTTTTTTAGGGCATTTCTTGTCTATGTAGTGAATCCAGTAATTCATTTTCATTGAATCAATAATTTTTCCATGTAAAATAATATAAGGAACTGAGGATAAATTCTGTTATGTTTTTATTGCTTGTCATGCATTACAGAGTGGCGACTTTGTAATGTCTAAGAAGGACATGGACATGATGGAGCATCCTCCAATCTGGAGGATTGATGGAAAATCACTTCTCCAAAAGTTCCAGGCCTTTGAAAAGGATGGCAAGACACTATACAGGAACATATCAACAGTAAGAGTGTAGTTATGATATGAGGCTGAAAACTATGAACACAGCTCTTTTATTTGTTGCTTAATTTTTACCTTGGCTAATAGGACTATCATGAGCTATGGTCATGGTCTATGTGTGTGGTTGTTTGTGTATTTATTTGTTTCTCCACTTTGGAGTCTAGTAGTGAAAGGGATGTGCCATATCAACACACATCTTTTACAGTGGGTAGAGTAAAGGAACAATGGTGAATGACAGGAGAATGTATGTTTACTGTACTTTGCTTTTGATTATACTATGTCCACCCTGGATTATTGGCGGAAAAGGCTGAAAGGATACAGAATTAAATATGACTAAGTCTCCTTGCAACAAAGTCATGTCTTTTAGTTTATTACTATTAATAGTTTAATAAATAATCTTATAACTATTACCTATATTCTATGCAGCCTTGTCAGCTTTTGCCATCTAAGGTACTAGGCCTGTGATATATAAACTGGAAGTGAAAAGAGAGAAAGAAATGTTAAAAGTTTTACTTTTGAGCAACCGCAGCCAGGTAATGGCTACTCACAGCATACATGGGGCCGAAGCCAAACCTAAAGCTATTGGAAAGTCACAAAGCTGAAGCTGTAGCCAGCCATTTAAAGTCATAAGCCAAAGCCTTCTAAGTAGTCATGAAGCCAACACTGGTACTTTAACACTTTTATAATACTGTATTATTCACATGTTGATTTTATAAATTATAGCAAGACTTTAAGATAAGTTGACTTTATTTTAAACTGATTATTCTTGGGGTAAGTTTTGACTGAGTGCAGGACAAAAATCCCCAAAGACGTGTAGACTATTACAATTATTATATCATAAGATTTTAATAAAAAAGGCATTATAAATACTATATAAGTTGTACTTAAACACTAAAATAAATTCATAACTATTTTACAGGAGCATATATTAACATGGCTGTGAGAACAAACATTACAAAAGGATCATCGTACAGTACTGTATCAAGCCAAAGTCAGCAAACTAAATAAAGCACAATATTCTCAAGTTCATTAAGTGTTCAGGTTCATTTATAATTCATTTTACTTCCACCTAATGCTGTGACCTACGCCCTTCAGAAGCTCCTCCGAGGTCTTCCTCTCATTCGCAAAGTCCAGACACAAGTCTGTCAAATGCTGTTGATGTGTCTTAATGTGTTGTATTTTTATCATGTTAAACAAACAGTGTGTATCATAATAGTGATGGATCTGAGGCAGCAAATTTTTTTACCTTACCCTGTACTTGGTAAGTGACGTGGGTTGTTGTGTCGGCACCGAAATAACTGACCATCATGCCAGAGACCAAAGTCGACATGAAAACATATTATCACAGGTCAATCAGGTTAGAATTACCACCCTAGGTAGTGCCAGGGAAGGTAAACTTCAGGTGAGGTCAGGTCATATGTGTGTTGGACACGTGACTTCAATCTGACCTTACATGACCTGAGACCAAAATGATGCTTTTGAAACTTTGTTATGTAGTCTATGAGTCTACTGATCTTTAGAAACATTAATATAGAAAATGGGAGGCTTTTGTCTTGATATATATACACTTTAACTGGGTGTTTTGTCCTGTACCCATTTTGAATCTTTCTATAGGCTAATAAAAGTTGCTTATAATAACAATCTAACTTTATAAATTTTATATTTCTTTGTTTCATTCATTCATTTTCATTTTCATTTATATTTGCATTAGTCACCATTAATCATTTTATTCACTTCATTCATTCATTTATTTTATTCATTACTCAAAATAAATCAGTAATGCAAAACATTTACTAAATATACATGATATCATTAACATATGAGCATAGTAATTGACAGTCAACAATCACAGAGAAACATTGCAATGAATCAAGATTTTCAAAGGTGCTGTCGATCACCCAACAGCACCTGTGGCTGAGGAGGCAAGAGGTGGTATTTGTCCAAAGTTCAGGTCAGATCATTGTGAGAATAGACCAATAGAAAGAGAAGGAATCAGCTGTAATGTCACTGAGACTGTAACATGCACCCGGACTTTCCTCTCAGGTCAGGTCATTGTGTGAACAGAAAAGTCAGGAATCGGCTCTGTGGTGAAGTCACAATATGGTCCTTGTGTCTGTGTAAAGAAGGAAATCCGAAGCCAGGCTTCAAAGCCAGGGTCATACCTTTGACTTTGATGCCAAAGCTTTTTAGAAAGTTTCAAACCCAAAGCTGAAAGCCAAGTCAAAAACTATTGGCTTCCAGAAGCAGAAGCTGGCTTCAGTCCCATGTCTGACTCAGAGACATAGTAATCAGGATTATAAGACACATTTATTTATTTATTTATTGGTAGGCTTCATGTTCTTATTTTAATTTTTGTGGTATTTAGAATAGGGAAATTCGTGAACTTAACTGAAATCTGCTTCCCATTGTTATTTTTCTTACAGTTGAACAATTGTTGCATGCTCAAGTTTGGATAGCAGTTGAACACAGTAGAGGTGGTAGTAGCTCCAGTTATTTAATTTTTTTTTGGTTTATGTATTTTATTATTTTTTAATTTTTTTCTTAGTATTCAGGATGGACATCTCATGCCAAGGCCCTTTATGTCGGAGTCCGTGTCACATTTGTGTTCCAGTCCCGGTATGACACTGTGGTGGAGATGGTTGGCATCCGATATGCAGATGATGAACCAGATAACGAAAATGAGGAGGAAGAACCGTGAGTTTGAGTTCTTTCTTCTTGTGATGTTAAGGACATTTCATGTTATTTACACAAGGTTTCCTCTGGGTTAATTTGCAACTTGAAATGTTTTACATTTAAGTTTTCTAAACCAAGAGTTCTCAAGCGACCCCATCTAGTGTGCAACCCCAAGTAATTTTATATATATATATATCAGTTAACGAATTAGCGCCCTTAAGGATTTTCAATTACTTTAACGAACAAAACTTTGAGTAACGAAAGCCATAAGAGAAACACGCTTTGTTGTGCGCATCAGCTGATCGGCTAGTCTGCCAATACAGTAATTGGTTCTATGTTTACATTCTTTTCCAGTGGAGTAAATATCAAGAAAGTTGGTCTCTTGAATATTTTTTCATTTTTTTATATTAAAATTATTGGTCGTTCTAATTTAGTTAACATATTGATAATATATACAGTACAGGGAACAGTTTTTGTGTGCCAATCAGCTGATTGAATCACCCACCAAGGCTTCTCAGTTTAACTTTGTTTACAGTGGAGTGAACATCCAATTAGTTGGTCTCGTGAATATTTTTGCATTTTTACATTAAAATTATTGGTCATTCTGAAATTTAGTTCACATATTGATAATATACAGTGCAGAAATTATTATGAAACATGATGAAGGCATTAGAACCAATGCACTCTAAAGAATATGGCATGTCATCATCGACTGCCTCTACAATCCGCTGTTTGATATGTCAAGAAAGCTGCCGGGAATACTACATAACACCTCAAAGTAGTTAAAATATTCTGTAGTATTCTATTGTTTTTTATTTATTATTGTACAGTATACTGTACAGTACAGTACTGTATTTGGTTTATATTTAATGTTTTGTTAATTCTGTTACTGGTATACAGTACTTTGTATGTACAGTGTACTTTTTCTATGAGTTGGAACCAATTACCCAATATCTCATTGAAATAATAGATTTGGTTTACAAAATTTTTGGTTAACGAATGACTCTGTGGAACCAGTTGTGTTTGTTAATCGAGGGACCACTGTATATATAATGAAAATTTATACAAATTGAGTATTCTAAAAGTAAACACTGGCAAAAACTGGTAACAACTCTGTAACAATTAATATACAGTGATCCCTCGGTTAACGAGCGCCTCGGTTAACGATTTACCTTCCATAAGATTCTTAACTTTGGTTAACGAGCAATCCCTCGATTAACGAGTTTTTTACAAGCCGACTTCAACATGTTTTCGCTTGCATTTGGCGGTCCACCAGCTGTAGTATTAGTCCGCCAATACAGTACTCAGTTTTAGGGCTTAAATTCCTAACTATTTTAGTAAATATCAATAAGTTTATACTATTCAATAATTTTAAAAGTTTAATATTAACTTTTTTAGTCATTTTAACAATTATTGAACATAATTGAAGGTAAAGAAACTAGTTTCTGGCTTGTCATCCAGCCTGTTAACACACCAGACAGGCGTTAGTCTCTCTCTGTTTTCAGTGGAGGTAACATCTTGCTTGAGACTCTTCAACTAAATGTTTTTTTTCTGTGTTTCCAAGCAAATTATTGGTCATTTTGAAATTTATTTTACATATTGACAATATGTAACGCAGTGCAGTGTTGATTTTAAGAAAATAATCTTGAATTACACCAAGAGAACTAAAATTTTATGGGTGAAACGGTGCCATGGGGTGACTTCTCTTCCACCCCAGTGCCTTCTCTTCTCCCTTCTCCTCCACCCCCATTCTAATTCCCATCATCATCATCATCATCCAGGAGCCTTCTACATACACACCTCAAAGTAAGTGTACTTTTCTACCTTTTTTGTTGAATTTAGGCAATTTTCGGTGAGCTGGAACCAATTACCCAAAAACCCATTGAAACAACGGTTTCGGTTAACGAGCAACCTGCTGGAACGGATTGTGCTCGTTAACCGAGGGACCACTGTATGTCATGTTTATATCATCATTTAATGTTTTTAACCTGGGGGTATAATTACAGTATATGGATAAACAACCAAACATATAATTTTGTTAATTACATCAGTCATAATTCATATGTGACATGTGTGCATTGTCATTTAATATATTTTTTGTTAACTGGGGGTACAATTACAGTGAACCCTCGAAGATCCGGACTAAAGGGGGGACCACCTGTCCGGAAAAGCCGATTGTCCGAATCTTCCGAGGAATTTACCAATGTATGAAAATGATAAATAATTATATAAAAAACACCAAAAGTACAGTACATATTATCCTGACTACTGGAGTTAGTTATACTACAGACTTTTTCCTGTGATAAAGCCATAATTTTGAGCAACATATTACTGTACTCATTTGTACTCGATGTACTACACTAAAGGACTAAAATTTTTATCTATTGTGTAAACTATGTGATGTCTTTATTCAAATTATCCGCTGTCTTGCAAGGATTCCAGCAATGCAATTTATATTCTGCTGATTTTAATCTGTTACATTTTATAAGATAAAAACTTTAAACCTAAAACTACCTTCACCCTGGTTTGGGAATGCTTTTTAGGGAGGCTTCATAGCATTTTTGTCCGATTCTTCTGAATTCTGGATTTGCCGGGTCCGGATCTTTGAGGGTTTACTGTATGTGATTAAACAACATAGCATAAAGTTTTCTAAGTTACAACTCTCTCATATGTTGTATGCTACAACTGTGTTATATTTCATATCTGACAGATGTACATCATCATTTGATTACTTTTCTATACCTGGAGGTATATGAGGTTAAGGAACATAACAGACAAATTTTTGAAGTTGAAGTTTGAAATACTGTTATGGTAATCACATTTTATAAAAGCAATTAACGAGAAAGCTACCTCAAAGACATAGGTGGTTCCAAATTGTACCAGAACGTTGATAGCTCGATTTTCAATCACTGAATATCTCTGATAAACTAATCCAAAACATTGATATGTCATCATAGACGTCAACATTCACCCTTGCCTCGTTGTCAGTTTGTAATCTGTCATTTAGAGCACAAAATAGCCACACTGTTTTATATCTGTCTTGATGGAAACTGAACGAAATCAAAAGACCTAGTAAGCATTTCAGGGAATGTATCATTGAAATTTGCTGCCGTTTTGTGTTTGCAACCATGGAAATTAGATAGTGAATTGGGCTGAGAACAGTTCAAAGGTAGGAGTGTGAAACTTATGGTGTAAAATGTGTCATCAGAGCCACCCTGATCTGATACAAGGAAGGTAACTGCATTAATCCCTTGGCCATCAGTTATGGTCCCAACTTGACGAGACAGCACCTGTCGGCCACGTCCTTCAGTCCTTGATACCTAGACTAAAAAAAAAAAAATTATGACCTGGATTAATCATATGTGACCGGGAAAAAAAAATCACGTGGCTGCTGCAAGACCCAGGTGACTGCAGCGACCCAATGAGGTCTGTCTGAGCCCAGCGACTTTATAAGCTCTATGCGACCCCATGACCTCTATGTGACCCCTTATGATGCATCGCGACCCTGTGTTTGGGAATCACTTGTCTTAACAAACAATATATTTCTTTAAGCATACAGTATTGTTATAGTGTAAATATATCTGCACTGTGTCTATGTTTTTGTTTTCAAATTTTTAAGCATTTGTTCACTAATTAAATAAGTTTTCTCTTCAGTAACTTCCTTTTCTTTTGTACAGGTCCTGGAGTGCTGTTAAATATCAACATCCCCAAGACTTTGAGTGAGTTTACCCCATTTACCTTTTTTTTTTTCGTTTTTTTTTTATAAACTAGGTTGGTGAACTTTGTTACATATTTGCATTGATGTTTATTGATTTTAATTTTAAGTAACAAGTTATTTGAAACCATTTAATGACATCAGGAATAAGAAAATCATATTACCCTACCATATATAGTGTCAGTCACCTTTCCTAATGTGGTTATCTTTTTTTTTATGGGAATTAGCCAACCCGGGCACAGGTCAAACGACCCACAACGGAGCCTGGGGGGCGAAAAAAAAGAACGGAAAGAAATTGAAAATATAGAAAAAAGGTTATACTGTATTAATCTACACCACGAAGATGCCGGAAAACCAGCTTTTTAAAGTGAGACAGATTGTAAGAGCATGGAAACACAGAAGAAGGCAAAGCATTCCACAGTTTGGCTGTGTGAGGAAAGAAGGAGGTACTATAACGGGTTATTCTCGTGTGACCGATATCCACAGAGAAATGGTGGGCACCGCGGGCAAGACGTGTGTTACGAACCCACGGCCTTACCGGCGGTACACAGGATGCCAAATCCCCTGAACATTGCCCGTTAAAGTACCTGTAAAAGAGAGAGAGTGAAGCAACATTGCGGCGAAGAGAAAGGGGAGAGAGATTGTCGACTAAAGGAGGAGAGTTAATAAGACGAAATGCCTTTGATTCCACCCTATCTAATAGTTGGACAGAAGAAGAGCCACCCCAGATATGAGAGCAGTACTCCAAGTTAGGACGAATGAATCCCTTATATACTTGGAGCAACTGCTCAGGAGTGAAGTAGCTGCGGCATCTGTACAGCATTCCCAACTTTCGGGAGGCAGCTTTAGTTATACTAAGGATGTGTGATTTCCAGGACATATTGGAGGAAATGGTGAGGCCTAACATATTTATTTCAGAATTTGGGGGGATGATAGCGTCCTGAAATGTAATTGGTGGGAGATCGTCTACTTTACAAAGTGTAATTGGTAAATATTGAGTTTTGTTACTATTGAACTTAACCAAGTTTGTATCTCCCCATTCAGAGATGCTGCACAGATCCGCGTTGATAGAAGTAATGATATCAGTTCTAGAAACAGATCTAGTTTGAGAGTTAGGAGGAAGGGGAAAATGTGAGGAAGAGTGAAGAGTAGAATCATCGGCGTAAGAATGGATAGAATTAGTTGTAGTGTGAAGTAAATCATTGATAAAAAGAAGAAAGAGAGTTGGTGAAAGAACAGAACCCTGTGGGACGCCACTATTGGTAGAGAAAGAGCGAGAAATCGATCCCTCGACAACAACTGCCATGGATCGATTCTCAAGGAAGCTAGAGATGAGAGAACAAAGTGGGGGAGAGAAACCAAAAGAGGGAAGTTTAGATAGCAAAGACTTGTGCCATACCCTGTCAAATGCTTTGGAGATGTCGAGGGCCACGACAAAAGTTTCCCCATAATCCCTAAGAGAGGATGACCAAAGATGGGTGCAATAGGAGAGCAGATCACCAGTAGATCTTGCCTGGCGAAAGCCATACTGGTGATCCGACAAAAGAGAAAGGCGTTCAAGGTGACAGAGAAAATGGGAGTTCAAGATAGTTTCGAAAATCTTAGAGAGGGATGAAGTTAGGGCAATGGGGCGATAGTTAGAGGGATTAGAATGGTCACCCTTCTTCGGGATGGGCTGAACCAAGGCATGCTTCCATGAAGAAGGAAAAGTTTTGGTTTTGAGGCAAAGGCGAAAGAGGCGAGCAAGCACAGGGGCCAGGGCTTCAGCACACTCCCTCAGAACACGAGGGGGTATTCCGTCCGGTCCATGCGCCTTACTCACATCCAACCTGGATAACACACCGGCAACCCTGCGAGTGGAGATTATAGGAAAGTGCATAGGTTCAGTAGGAGGTGCAGGGGTAGGAGGGGTAGAGTGGGAATCGTCTAAGGTGGAATTAGAGGAGAATAAGGTGCCAAAGAGGTTGGCTTTCTCAGGGGGAGAGTTGGCTATAGAGTTATTGGGACGGAAGAGGGGAGGAAAAGAAGGCGTGCAGAAGTTGTTACAGATGTTTTTAGCTAAGGACCAGAAGGATTTACTAGAGGAAGAATTATTCAGGACAGCAGTCTTTCTTTTAATAAAATTCCGCTTGGCCCTACGAAGAATAGCCTTACAACGATTCCTAGAAGTAATGAAAGAGGTATGGGTAATAGGAGAAGGAGATAGTTTCATAGCTCGATATGCCCTATCTCTCACCCTGCAAGCAAGAGAGCAGGAGCGATCAAACCATGATTGTAATGTGAAAGTTTTGGTAGAAGATGGGATAAATGCACTCATACCGCCCTGTATAACCCCAGCAATGCTGTCAGCACATACTGAGGCATCCCGAGTGGAAAAGCAACATTCATCCCAAGGAAAGTCGGTGAAGAATTCTCGCAAGGATTGCCAGCTTGCCCTCCGATAGTGCCATAGTTGACGTTTAGAGGGGGGTGGGGGAGGTGGTCGTGCCCAGTTTGATTTAATAGAAATAAGGTTGTGATCAGAAGACCCTAAGGGGGCAAAAATTGAGTATGAATAGTGTGAGGGGTTAGAGGTAAAACAAAGATCAAGAATGTTAGCAAGTTGATCGTGTCGATCAGGAACGCGTGTAGGGTGTTTGATTATTTGTTCCAAATCATTAAGTAAGGAAAAAGAGAGTGCCTCAGCTCCACCTGGGTCATCCCTTGCAGAGCCAAGCCACTCTCTGTGATGTACATTGAAATCCCCTAGGTAGAGGATCTCGGTGTTGGGGTGTGTGGATAGCAACGACTCATGGCAAGAAGTGAGATAGTCAAAGAGTTCGAAATAGTTGGTAGAGTTGGGAGAACAGTATAGGAAACAAAGAAAAATAGTCACAGTAGGTAGAGATATTTTGAGCCAGATGACATCATAAAGGGGAGATTCAAGATCCGTGAGTCGGGCTATAGGTGTACGTGTATTGCAGTAGGCGCATACACCTCCCTTAGAACGGAAGTAGGTATAAAGGTTGTAGTTAGAGACTTGAAAAGGTTTGGGTGAAGCTGCTTTGATCAGTTGAAGTTCGGAGAGTAGTAAGAGATCAGGGGAAGAGGTTAATAGATGGTGCTCCACAGAAGAAAAATTGGATCTCAGTCCGCGAATGTTGGAGAAATGAAGCGTGAAAAAAGCCGATCCTCCAGCAACCGTAATCTTGATTGAATGATCTCTAATAACATAAATGATATTACAGTACAGTATATTACCTCTCTATATCAAAATAATTGGTGCACAGCCAGTTGGTATAGGGAGTTTTTCAGTGTTAAATGAATCCCCCAAAACTCATCCAATACCAAACTTTCTTCAGTATACAGTAGGGTCTCAGAGTACGTGTATCTACGGGGGGCCCAAATTCACGGATTTTTATTTCGCGGTCCTCTACTATTCGCTGATGACACTCTGGATGTACCCAAGAATGTCTGTGGGTGGTTTTAAAGTTGCCAACATTTTTGCTGCTGGGACAGGGAGCCATTCATTCTAGAGATAGTAATTTCCTTTACCTGTATTGTAAATATGTGTTTCATAAAATTTTTCAGACAATTTTATTCTAGAAGAAACCTCATTACAATTAATAAAACAATTCAATGGCAGTGAATTGAGCCCTAAAAAAAAAAAAAATCAACGATTTTTTGGCAAAAACCTCTGAGGCTGAGCATAAGTATTCATGCATGTATGTGTCTCAAGCTCTGAGGCTGAGAGGGTTAATACCATTCGCAGATTTTGACCTAACACTCGCGAATAGTACAGTTCCTGATTGATGTCACACAGTTGTGGGCTGAACTTCTGGGCGACCACATGGTAGTGGTGCAGAGGACAAACAAAGTGGCGTTTGCCTGCTACCCTCAAGAGTAAGTTTTCAATAACCACAGCTACAAATATCGTCTTACTCATTAAAAGAAGTGGAACAAAATACACTAAAATACAACAGTTGTCAACATATGAACTACATACAATATTTGTCATGTTTCAATGTTGCTGCGCTGTTGCTACATTGTCTCAAATTTATTTTTAGTAATATCGGCGAATGACAAACTGTTATAGCAAGAATATGTCTTAGAATATAGAAAATATAATATAAAACTATAAAATAAGAAAAATGAAGAGCATGGATGTGCACGTTTGAGAAGTGAACATTTGTGTGTGGAAGTAGTGGCCTTTTGTAACAGCATAGCCAACTCACCATTGCAGCCATGCTCCCTTCCTCCCTCCCTGATGTGAGTCAGGTGGGTGATTGCCTGGTTGAGATGCTGAACTGTGTCACGTCACCCAGAGGATGCTTCGAGTGTGGAAGGAGATATTCTTTTTATCCTTACCCTCCCCTGCTCTACATGCTAACTATTTCTTTTATGTTTTTGAACTTATGATATTTATTTATTTTTTTTATGGCACATTTTGTATGAAAGATTGTTGTGTATGTAACAGTAAAAAAAGAAGAAGAAATTATGAGTTGAAAAATAATCATTGGAACTCTGGCTTCTTTCTCTCTCTCGCATTGGTTCAGGGAACATCTCCGAGGCGCTTGTGCTGGTAAAGCTTTTCTTTTTGGTGAATTATACGGCAATCATGGCCCCTAAGAGGAAATTAGTGGCAGTTGTCAAAGTGACGAGAGTGAGAGAAAGAAAAAAAGGGCATACTGTGAGAACTTTTGAAGGAAAAGTCAATATTTGACTTATTAAGGTGTGGTGTATGAAACTGAAGTTGGTCACCTCGTTATAAAGAAGGGTTATACACATACAGTATACGTATATGAGGGGGGGGATATACTTGAATTCGTGTTTACGTGAGGATCCCAGGAATATAACCCTCGTGTACTTTTGAGACTTTACTGTTTTTGAAAAAGTTCAGCATTTTTAGTCAAGATAAATTGTCACAATATTGGAATTTTTTTTATTTTTTATAAAGTATAGTTTGGTAACACAAGACATAAACAGCTCCTTTCCTGGCTGGTTAGCTGTTCACTATGTAAAAATTTCACCGGGAACTTAAGATGCCACAGTAACTTGTCTGGGGTTGTGTGTTGGAATTTTTTGGGAGGTGAAAATCGGTTATTTTACGATAATGTTTTTTTAACCCGGCACCAAATGAACGCAAATAATATGGAAATTAAGGTGAAAGTAGTTACATGGGTCATTTTAAAGGGGTCGGTGTCAGGAGCATCGACAGGGAGAACTATTACTAAGTCAGTCCACCCTCAACTACCTTCTTCTCTACACATAATTCACTTTCCAGTCTATTTTTTTATTTTGTGGTTTTATATTACCTGTATATATTCTTTATTTCTAAGTCACATGAGAGCAGTGTACTGTACAGTATTACAGTTTTACTCTATATTTGATAACTTCAGATATTTGAGGAGGGGTTTGGTATATAGCGCATTTTTTTTTAAATCAAGTCTTGGTAGAGTCGTACAGTCTCACCCAAAAGTTTGTTAAATCTCCCAGCCAGCTATTGCTGCACTGCCTGCCTGGGGTTGTATTTACTCATTGAATATAATTTATTTTTTAGGTAAATAGAGAAGAAACCTTCAGGCTTTTAGCTGCATAATTTATAATTATATACTGTATAATATAATTTTTTGTTTTTGTTATTCTCTACAAGTGAAGGTTTGCTGGATCACCAGGATTTTAGACTGAGGTGGGGAGTAGCCAAGTCTTATGAAAGTACAGTACTGTTTACTGCTGTTGATGAGTGGTTCCTTGCTAGTGCATTTGATCAAACTTATAATTGAACCTTTTTTAGTGCTTCTCTGACATCATGAGTTAGGCTCATTTAAACTCATTCTCAGTTTATTTCTTGCATAATCTTTTTTTCTTTTGCTTTTACAGTACATTAGTATAAATTGTATGCATTAGAATTGTTGTATACAGACTTTACATTTGTATTTTATGAGAAATTATTTAGATACTCTGGTGAGACAGTCATGGTACAATCGGCCTTTTTTTTTTATGGGGACTAGCCCACCCGGGCACAGGTCATCGACCCACAACGGGGCCCCGGGGGCGAAAAAATAAGAATAGAAAGAAATTAAAAATAGAAAAGAAAAAGGTTATACTGTATTAATCTACACCACAAAGATGCCAGAAAACCAGCTTTTTAAAGTGAGACAGATTGTATGAGTATAGAAACACAGAAGAAGGCAGAGCATTCCACAGTTTGGCTGTGTGAGGAAAGAAGGAGGTACTATAACTGGTTATTCTCGTGTAGTGTTGATTTAAAGAAAATAATCTTGAATTACACCTAGTGAACTTAAAATTTTATGGGTGAAATGACGCCATGAAGCATGGGGTGATTTCTCTTCCACCCCCACTTCCTTCTCTTCTCCCTTCTCCACCCCTGCTTCTAATTCCCATCATCATCATCAACCAGGAGCCTTCTACATACATGCCTCAAAGTAAGTGTACTTTACTGCATTTATTTTTACTTTGTATGTAATGTTCGGTGAGCTGGAATCACTTACCCAAAATCCCATTGAAACAATGGTTTCGGTTAACGAATGACCTTCTGGAACGAATTGTGTTCGTTAACCAAGGGACCACTGTATTACTAATAAATAAAAGAAAAGAAAAAATACTGCATTGCCATTTGGCAATCATTTCATTACACACTGGACACAAGAGACAGTGACCAGCCAATGACCCCCCACCACACACACACACACAGCTGTGGGAGCTAACTCCAGCACATGACGGAAGGTTTATTCCCCCGTCATGTTTCTGATTTTATGATGCCAGTAATTATTCTTAAAAAGTGCACATTCTGTATGAACAATTGTGTGTGCAAGTAACAGATCCAAAAATAAAAGAATGTACTGTACATCTACCTGAAATTATGGGTTGAAAAATAACCTTAACACAACTCTGGCATCCTTTCCTCTCTTGTACTGGTTCCTTGAACATCTCCCAGACGTTCGTGCTGGTGAAGTTTTTCTTTATTGGTGAATTTTACCGCAATCATGGCCCCTGAGAGGAAAATTAGTGGCAGTGCTCTTGGTGATGGGAGTGAGAAAGAAAAAAGCATACTGTGAGAACTTTTGAAGAAATAATCAAGATATTGAAATTACAGTACTATGGAGTGGCATATCAAACTCTGAAGTTGCGTGTCAGTCGCCTTAGTATAAAAAATGGGTTTTACATATCTATATGGGTGGGGGGGCAAATATACGCAAATTTTGCACTTCCGCAGGGATGCCAGGAACGTAACCCTCACGTACTGTACTCTGAGACCCTACTGTTGTGTAGAGAATAATAAATTAGTTTGAGATTAGTAAGATAAGTAATATACAGTACTGTATGTAGAGCCCTTAAGTGTTTAATTTTCAATTACGGGTAATTTTATTTTTAATGTTATACTGTATGGTAATTAAGATTATATATAGTGTATCTGAAAAATAATTAAATTTTTTTACAGGGATGATGAACAGTATGATATATAAAGCTTTTAATATTATTATTATTGAATTAATTTTGATTGAAGACTCAAAGACTTCAATTTTCTCTTTGCAGAATCTCGGAAGAACTGCGCTCACACATGCCAAGCTTTGAGATTTACCTACAAACTCTTATCTCACAAGCACTAGACAACAATTTCTTAATGGAGATTTATGAAGAAAATGGTTTGGATGTTTAATTTGTATTGTTACTCTTAGAGTGATGCTCATCTTTCCTTTCCTGTCGTATGCATTCTCATTACTGTACCTTCCTTTTTTCCTATTACTCTATTTTATCTCCCTCCTCTTTTCTTCCTTAATGTCCTAACCCTGTCTTCTGTGCTTCTCTTATTCCCAATTCCCTTCCCTCTTAAACCTGCCAGGTGATATTTATTAGTTGCAATTATTGACCTTAAAAAAGTGTTGAGCTTCTTTTAAGAAATTATAAGCTAGAACATATAATTTTGTTTTTATAAATTACAAGGCTTTAATAAGAACTAACTTGCTAATTACATGATGGATTTCGATTGTCCACTTACCCATTCCACCCAACTTGCATCAGCACTCTCTCACTGGCATATGCTTATCCTCATTCCAAAATTATCATTGCTCACTTTTAGTTAATTTTCTTAGTAGTGGCGATGTGTTACTGCTTAAAAAAAAAGAGCAATAATTGTCACACTAAAAAGGGAAAGGGGAGGGGGGGTAGAACTACTAAATTTACATAGCTTTCTCTCTCTCCAGAAAAATGTTATCCATTATCCCTATCTGTGCTCTTCAACCTTCTTTCTTCCTTTATCCCGAACCCTTTTCATCCCTCTCATTCTACTTTTCTCTTCCCTGTAATCATGTTATTTATCTCTACTGTCTCTCACTTCTATTTTCCTCCACCCTTATTTTCTTTCATCCCATTTGCATTTGTGTCTCTCCTTCCATTGTCACCTTTCTTTATGTTTTTTCTCCTTTTATCTTTTTTTTTTCCATCTTGGTTATTACCCGACTCCTTTGCCCTTGCATAGTCTTTCTTACATTTAGTGAATTTGCATTTTGTTACTATAACGGTATTTGTAATACTCTACTCTTATATCTGATACCACAATTTTTTGGGGGGTATTTTGATTTATTTATTTTTCTTCCACAGATGATTACTTTGTTGAAAGAGTTAAAGTAATTGATGAGTTAGCTGAACAGAGGAAAAAGAAGATCCTGGAAATCGTTGACTGGAGTGACCAGTTCCGGGTAGGTGTCTATAGTTCACTGTGCTGTATAAATAAATTTGTAAAGTTTCCTCCTTTTTTTGTAGATCAAATATTTTTTTCCTAACATCACAGTTTCCTCTTGTATTATTACTACATGTGACAAAAGATATAAAATGTGGTCAGATAATTATTTTGTTTTGAACACTCACCTTTCAGCCACCAGAGCCAGAGGTGTAGAATTGTGAACCATGACACCAGTTTGTAAGTTTACCTTTTTGTTGACAGCCTTCCTTCTGGATTAGGATGAACATTCTAAGGAAACTGCTTACTTTAAGTTATCCACGATCAATAAATTGTCTTGGAGTAAGAGTACAATGCTTAGAATCTATGGCAGGGAGTGTGGGAGCAGAGCAAAGATTGTTTTCACCTAGTTTAAAAGTATGCTGAAGAAAGTGCCAGCCTCAAAAATCCAGTATGTCGTCTATAAAATACGACCTGTACTGTACATAAAATGATGTTTTTATCTTCTAAAGTTACATCTGAGTATCCTTCCTTTTATGCTGACCCATGCAAGCGTGGAAAATGGCCATAAAATGTTGATGATGATGACAGGAATGCCTTTGAAACTTATTAAATTTATAGTGGAGGTTTTATCGAACTTCTTGAAAGATTGGCAAAAAAAAAATATTCAGAGGTGGATGGTTAGGGGGAGAGGGAGAGTAAAAGAAAGAAGGAGATGGAAGGATGGGATAAAGGACATATTAGTGGATTACATTATATGAATGATAGGAGAGCATGGTGAGTGATTTATGGAGATTTTAGTGTGGTGAGAGTTAATGGATGTCGGCAAATAAAAAGAGTCGGTTCTTGCCTTTAGTTCCATCCACCTTGCTTTATAGTAGGAGAGTGCCTTCAAGACTCATTTTGCATTTTTTTTTTTATATAAATCTCTAATTGATGTTAGTGTGATCTATGTAATCTTTCCACTTTAATCTTTGACATTTCATAAAATTAAATTGTTAAAAAACAAAACAAAGGTAAACAGAAGCACTAAGTCAATTTTCGTCTTGCAGAGTTCCTTAGACACATGGCCATGCGTCAATGTAATGATTACTAAGAATGCTGACATGTGCCAAGCTTGTACCAAGAACCCTGCCTCAAAACTTTCACAACTGTATGGTCAGCCATACAACCAACAGACTCTCCGGTCCCGAGAACCATTACCAGCAGAGTTAGATGCAAAGGTATGATACACCATTTGTTAATTGTCCTTCAATGCAATATAGAGTAGTTACTTTTATACAGTGAACCCTCGAAGGTCCAGACTAAAAGGGGAGACCACTGGGATTAGTTATACAGACTTTTTCCTGTGAAAAAGCCATAATTTTGAGCAACATATTACTGTACTCAAATGTACTACACTAAAGGACTAAATTTTTCATCTCTTGTGCAAACTATGTGATGCTTATACTTAAATTCTACGCTGTCTTGCAAGGATTCCAGTAATACACGTTATATTCTGCTAAATTTAGTTTACGACATTTTATAAGATAAAAACTTTAAGTCTAAAACTACCTTCACCCTGTTTTGGGAATGCTTCTTAGGGAATCTTCTTAGCCCAGAACCCCCCAATTTTTTGTCCGAATCTTCCAAATCTGGATTTACAGGGTTAATTTTTCAAGAGTTCACTTTACCATGAAATTAAAATCTTGTTCTGTTCTGTAGAATTAATACATGAATTATGCATACTAACTTCATTCTATAGAAGTTAACCAACATTTTTCTTTGCCAAAATAAAGAGATCAAAGCCTTAAGGGATTACTTCTTGCCAAAGTGCCGTTCTTTATTTACTCTTTTAAAGTCAAAACAATAAAGCACATGTTTAGATGTTATTTGTGGGCATTGAACTTTTGCAAAAGGTTGTACTGTCCTTTGATGTGCAGAGTTGTTGCTTTGAGGTTTTTATAATTAAAATGCATGGAGAATGTGTAAACCTGTTTATGACAGGAAATGACAATTTCAATATTTATTTTTCTTATTAAATTATGTGTAAACACAAGGCAACTGCTCCTTTGAATATGGGCAGCTGAAAGTACGGTATTAGTTGTAGTAAATTTTTTATTAAATACAGATCATGGCTCAAAATCCAATCCTTTTTTTATTTTCAGAATTTTGAAGTGTGTGATCGCTGCTCGAATATCTCTCAGATGTATAATAAGGTGTCCCATCAGAAATATGATTATTATTCTCAGTGTAAATCAACAGTAACCAACATGAGAGTTACTCACCCCAGTAAGCACACCACCACAATTCTTCGAGACTTGCTGGCCAACGACCACTGGATCATGGGGGTATGGTGAAATTTTTTGTTTTCATGTAAATTTCTTAATATAAAGAGTTTATATTTTCACATCAAGGAAATAAGAGAACTGTTAGGAATATTTTCATTTCATGAATGCAGTGCAGTTTATAATGCTTCATTTGTCAATACTAATGATCAGAAAGCCAGCTAAGTAACATTTTATCAGTATTCAGTCATCCCCCTATTTTCAGACTTTTCTTTTACAGAACTTCACTGTAATCGAAAGGGTTTATTTATGACTAAAATTCAATAAGCGGAAAGCAAAACTCACGATAAAGGAAACCTTGGTAAAAAATAAAATAAAAAACATATTTTAGAAGGAAAAAAAATATATACTCTGGTAAGATTCTCCTCCTCTCCCTTCAAAAATGAACAAAAAACTGCTGTAATAAATAATAAAAATGATATATCATACATCTTAAAATATTTTATGTACAAAAATAGCTCTTTTCCCCCCTCAAACCATCCTCCGGGTGATGCTGAGAGAGAACCACACAGTTCTGCCAGCAACCCAGCTTACTTATAGATGTGTGGCTGCTGCTGCACTATGCTGTGTACAAGCCATGATACTACATTAGGGGAGGCAGTGTGCAGAGTTGTAAAAAAGTACAGGACTTTGTTTCTAAAGTTAAGGTTTTGTTACATTGGCAAAATTTTGCTCGATAGAAGTAAAAGTATCCAAAGATCAATGTACTCAAGTAGAAGTAAAAAAAGTATCTCATTCATAAAGTACTTAAATATTGAAAGTAAAAAGTAACAACAAAATTATAAATTGTCTCAAATATTAAAATAAATCCAGAGTAAATTAAAACAAAAATAGTGAACCAAGATGAAAATTTAAGACTCATAGCATTACACATCTTTATTTGCAAATCTTTCTTTTGAAATTTATCAATAATTGATTCTCAAAACTATGGCTGTCCAATCAGGATCTTTTTGGCCTAAATATAAGCCCACCAGGACCTACGTTCAGCCGCTCTTCTGCCTACAATCCATGGCAGGGGTATAGTGCGTTTTGTCTCAGCTGAGAAAAGATGCCCCGCCCCCTCCCCAAGATTTACAGCTGATTGGCTGTTGCAAACCTGTCTGATTTTGTCCTGAAGTAATGATGTATTTCTAAATGAGTTTATTCATAATCGTTGGGATGACCGTTTCTGACGAGTAAGATGTTGAGCTAAATTATATAAAGATACATACATTCATTATTTCAAACATAAGCACATAGGAAATTTATCAGAAGTATTATACTGTACATGAATTAACTGTTAATCTCTGGTAGCAAATTCACTCTTTCGGAAAATGCATTTAATATATACGTACTTATTTTCACCCACAATAAGGCATACTAAGACAAATTACGTATAAGTAATACTACATTATGCAAAAACAACATTTTTAAAGATCAGAATTGCATTGAAATATTCCACGACCATTAGCAGAGGCGGGAAAAATATGAAGTTGTTCGCAGTCATATTTCCCGCCTCTGCTGACGGTTGTGTAATATTTCAATGGGGCCAGTGAGAGGAAGTTTTCTGCGCTGCATGCCTTCTACCCATAACTTAAGTGCTTCTTCCATCTCACCATACATAGCACTCTTGAGGTGGAGTTTACCATTGGCAACATCTGGCGAAGCATAGGCTGCTCTAATTTTTTTCTCGTTGAGCTTTATAGTACGGACAGAGCTCTCCGATAGTCCAAATTCACGTCCCACACTTGAAGCGCCATTTCCACGCTGCAGTGCTTCCAGCACCTTGATTTTCTGCTCCAGTGTAATGGCTTGCCTTGATTTCTTGGCCTGTGGGGTAGTTAATGATGTAGTAGCTGGCATCTTGGACATAGTGGCGATGGTTGATACACGTGGTAGAAGAGATAGTGTCACACAGGATGTCCGTTCACTGGAGCATCAGCGCCAGAATTGAGGATGCGTGAGGGTGGCGGGTAGCCGTGTAGCGTGTCCAGAGATGCGTCTGGTGGGAAACATTAGGCGCGAAATTTAAAATATGTTGGGCCTTGATTGACTCGGCAAAATAGGAAAGATTCGCTTTAAATTAAAACATTGTCCTTAATTATGGGCGTCGCTTTAAATCAATTATCTAAAATCGATTTATAAAACTATTTTTTTTATATATTTCCACTCAATCTTCTTGTACTGTTACTCCTCTCATACAACTGAAAGTTTTAAGCCTGTTCCTTCTTTATGAGCACTGTTAGCCTACCATTCTCTTCTTTATGAGCACTGTTAGCCTACACTTGTGTGTGCCTGCAGCATTGGCACACCCAAGAATGGTCAACCTGTCCTTAGCATCCTTAACACCTGTTGGTGCTCTCTCATCAGCCGTTGTTAATTTTTTTCTAGGAACGTAGCGCCAGTACAGAGCTGTTTCATCAGCATTGTAAATTTGTTCAGGACTAAGGTTTTCATCAGATATTATTTTAGCAAACTCGTCAATGTAATTTTCAGCTGCTTCATGATCAGCAGAACCTTTTTCACCACAGATTTTCAGATATTTTATACCATGACACTTCTTAAATTTCTGCAGCCAACCTTCTGAATATTCTCACTCACCATCAATGTTCAGTTCTTCATGGTATATTCTAGCTTGTTTCATGACCATCAAACCAGTCAGTGGAACACATTCACTTCTTCGTTGTCGAATCCACTCAATCAGCACACGGTCAAGATCTTCATTTTTTGCCCTATGCAATGTTTTTCTGTTTTTCATTAGTTTATGGTCATCACTGTCAGTGTAAAACTTCAACAACTTGTGTTTCTGTTTCTTTAAGTCATATACAGTACAGTGGTAGTTCCCACACCATATTCTTTAGTAAGACGCCACACAGGTACACCACGATCAAGCTTCTGTAATAACTCCACTTTATGTACTATCGATAATGAGAGATGCTTCCTTTTCTTCTCACTGTTACCCATAGGGGTATCTGAAGCTCTTTTTGACATTTTCAGTGAAATTAAACAAAATTACATAAAATATAAAAACAACAGACGCAAATGTGTGACTCGTAGCAACACCGAGACACAAGTGATGCCTCTCTCACACCCGCCGCCCGGCGTGGGTCAAGCACCCGGTAGCGTCAGGTCCCAGTCATGTGTTGATAAAATAATTAATTAAATTGCAATTTATTTATTGGTTTGTGAATTGGGGTAAGGATATCCAGTAGGAGAAAGATTATATATGTACAAGTCATTATTCTATATATTGCAAATTACTTGTTTATTAATTGACAGTTTTATTGCATGTTGACTTTTCTTATTAATTTCAGCTCTTCCGTTCTATGTGCACAACATGGATCAAGGTAGATAGAATATATCAAGATGAAATGGAGTATCTCAAGAAAACTGGAAATGAAACAGAAAATCCCGAGAAAATTGTTATTGAAATGGAAAATCTTGAGAAAACTGATAATGAAACAGAAAATCTCGAGAAAACTGATAATACAGAAAATCTTGAGAAAAATGCTAATGAAACAGAAAATCTCGAGAAAACTGATAAAGAAACAACGTGATTGGTAGCTTGAAGTGTGATGCATAGACTATCCTACTGTATGGATGAAACTGAAATTAATTCAGTTAGACCAGAATGCACATTTTCAAGTAACAAGTTGAAAAATTATTAATTTTAGTGACTTGGTAACTTGGAGAATATCAAATGAAAGGAGAGACAGTGTGAGTAACCTCTGTTGTGTAGAGTGTGACGATGAGTGATGGTTGTTCGCGATGTGTGATACTTCAGTGTACCATCAAACAGGCTTATGTCAAAATTGTCTAAACATCAGAGCATAAAAATGTATGAATTGTGTACTAGCAATGCTTACTGTCATTTCTTATATTTGATAGAATAAAAGTTATGGGTATTTTTCTTAGTACCAGTTTTTGCTAAAGTGTTGTACAGTATAAGGAACAAAGTTGAAGATGGATAAAAGTAATATTTACATAAATGGTTGGTTACTTATTTAATGTTGATATTTATATAAGGTAGTCAGAATGTCTATTTGAAAAATTTATTGTTCTAGCAAATGATTAAAAGGATTATCCTGTATAGTGCAGTATTTTTAAAGGATTTCAATTATTACAGGAATAATTTATGATTCTTTTAAGCACAATTAGCCCTCTCAACCTCGGAGCCTGAGACACATATGTGCACGAAAACTTACGCTCAGCCTCAGAGGTTTTTGCCGAAAAATCGGCCTTTTTTTTTTTTTAGGCTCATTTCACTGCCATGGAATTGTTTTTATTAATTGTATTGGGTCCACTTCTAAAGTAAAATTTTATGAAAATTTTTATGAAACCATAAATAACTTGAAAATTCTTGAAATTTAAGCTACTTTTTTTAAGTAAAAGTAGGAAAATTTTTAGTAACATCTCGATTTCCATTTACATTTTGCTTGTATTGTGGTGGTCATTGATATGTACTATATACCAAAATAAAGAACAATGCATGTAGAATATTGTGGTATAAGGAAAAATAATATAACCCTCCTCTCGCTCTAATGGCCAGAGTGACACTGGCTTCATGCTGCGCTGCCATGCACACGATGACCAAGACTGTCTAGGGGAAGGTGATAAGACCCACACAAAGAAAATGACGTCCAAAGTTCAGTCAGTTTCACCAAATAGTTTTGGGATGCCACATTGGCGTCGCGAGACTGAGCGTAAGTTATTTTGCCTTTTATGTTCGATGCCACAATGGCGTCGTGCGAGGCTGAGAGGGTTGGTGTACCTTCATTTTCTTGTTGCATTTTCAGGGTTGTCATAAGTGGTGATTTCGTTTATAAATTTTCTTAGTATTCAAATTTAGTAACACATCAGGTGGCCCCCCAAAACACACCAATAATTCCCAAGGTATACACCTGACACAAATATGATTTCAGTGTATACAAATTTGAGAATTTTATTTGAATTTTGTTTTTTCTAAAATACTGTAAATGAAACTCCAAGGTGAGCTTGAGATAAGTAAGCATCATGAACAGGAGAAAGGTAATGTACTGTACCAACTGTATTATGTAGATGTAGTTTATTTAGTTTATCTTTTTGTTTAGGTACAATATTTTAATTATATTTTATTTATACGTAGTGTAAAGCACAAGAACAAACCAAAACACGACAACAAGCTTCGCTGCAAAATATTTTCCCACTAACCGTATTACTGTATATTATTCTCTATCCGAATATTCAATAACTGAATGACATTTAATGAACCTATCCCCTGCGGATAAAGAGGGATGCCTGTACAATATTGAAAGTGGTGTTCCCGTAGTGGAGGGGTTAATTTAGGAAAAAGTGTTGCTTGTATAATCTTGAAAATTTTATGAAAGCTTGTCAATAGACTGAAATTATGTCAGGTGTACGAATTGAAATTATTGCACTTGTAATTGTGTTTTATCCTATGTATTTATATGCTCTGGGTATACTGTATATACAGTAAACATGTTGTATCACAAAGAATATCTAAAAAAAAAAAACAATTTCTTTTACACTGCAAGAAAATTTTGTCCAAGCTGAGCACTTTGCTTAATTAATACTGTTTAGTCAGTGTGTCTCATGTTCAATTTTCCTCACACTTATTGTTTTGATAACCTGATTCAAAAACAAGTATGTTGAGGTGTTTCTTATTTTCTTCTTCTCAGAATTGGATATCACTTACAGAAAGCAGATACATAAAGAAATTTGTGCAATTTTCTGTCAATAACCCCCTGTACATATGTCCTTAAAGTTTAGTGAATATTACCATAATAACATTACGTTCTGTCATGTGATATTAGGTAGACAGGATACGAATACATTAATGAATGATAACTGTACTTCTATAACAGAAAATACACTTGGTACAAATACTTTTGTAGCAGTGATGTGTATATATTTTAGATATCAATTAGTGTATGTAAGAAGATGAAGATTTTATAGCTGTTCATAAATTTTGACACACAGTTATAATCACCATATCTATAATTAAGACATTGAACTATTTACAGTACTGTACAATAATATCAAAATCATCCACAGTCCTTATCGTATTCGATGTGACCTTGTCCGGGTAGACTTTCAGTTAGCTGCGTAGCTTTTTATTGTCTAATTCTTACAGTGTCCTTGAGCTTGAAGATATCTGATTATGCAGGAGCTGTGCTTAGATCATTGTTGTGGGCATCATTACCAAAGTACTTCCAACTGTTATTGAACATGTAGTTGACCATCTTAGTGACAGCTTTTGTAGCCTGGTTTTGTGATAAATGATATGTGGATATCAGTTTGTCAGCCACACTATAGAAAGCCTCTTACTTTCCTAGGGTTTTCATGGATGTGTATTATTGAGACAACTTACCTTCATCCAGATTTAAGAATCTTCTCTTTTTCCCTGTTGTTGATAACCTGTTGTTCTTAGGTATATTCATCTTTAGTACATTTGTTCTCATCAGTTGTCCAGCCATCAGTATCAAACTACTACAGATTAGTTTTCTCTGTGTCCTCTTGCTCTTTCCAGAGCACATTATCCATTGCAACCTGCCTCCCCATTTGCCTCCCTGTTGTTCTCTGCCATGCCATGTCCACTGAACTATGACAAAGCATCCTTCTTGGTCCTTGTAAATCCTCCAGAAACTTCCACTCTGTTTCAATAACTTTCACTCCCATAAATCTTTTCTTGGCATCTCTGTGAATTATCAGATGTCAAACAAAGTGGTTGCAATATGGTTGTTAAACTGAGATTTCTGCCTGTTTCTTTAGTCATTCTGTGTGTGTGTGAACCTGACAGTATTTTTTTTAAAGTCATTATACAATTTTGTTTCCTAATAGACAATGTTGTTGATCAACTTAGTTGCACCAGATCCAAAGGTTCTGCAAGTTTTAGGCAACTGTCCATGCAGCATCATTACAGAAAGTTGATTCATACCTGCTGTTGCTGGCCTTGGCATAAACATCACCTGAATAACATCTTGCTGAAGTCGAAATTCACCTGCCTTAAATTAATACAGCTCATTGTACTCTACTTCTCCATTCCGGTGTGTAGAGACAGAACATAACTCTCACATTGTGATCTAGCTGCTTATGTGTATTCTAAATGTTGTTCAGTATTTGTACAGTACTATAAAAGAATTGATTTGTAGACAAATATGAACAGTTATAACAATTGACATGCATCTTAAAACCACTGTAGTAGGTAGACAAAAAACATTCACATAGGCAGTGCATGACTATTCAAACCTTGATAGTAATTGTTAACCCTTTCACTTCATCTGTATAATTAATGGCCCTATCCCCCATTTTGGAGAGTTTTAGGAAATTTCAAATAAATTTTATATAGTTCTCACTCGTGGTCAAGAATGTGTGGGTCTCATCTGAATGCAGGCACTCTCCTGGTAAATGGGTTACCTAACACTGGCGATAAGCCATCTGGTGTGAGACCGCAATGCCTAATGCATGATGAAACCAAGTGTTCTTCCTCTTCTATGAATTATACATGTCCATAAATTCACTGGTGGCTTTGTATAATAGACTATTATACAACATTAAAATTCAAGTGAAAATAAATTTTTAAATCCACTGATAATTGTGGCAAAGCATACACAGAAATTATGAGATGTGGATTATATTGATATTGAAACAGTGCATTTAGCCAGAAAAAATACAGATACAGAGTTGATAATAATAATATTGACATGGCAGAGCCAGTTGAGAGTCTGAGCCCTCATACCATCAATTATGGACACTGCTCATGGGATTAATTTGTGCACCAGCTTACATACTATTACGTATTTACATTATATTTATATGATCTCTCCCACTACACCATTTATTCAATAGGTTTTCAGAGTGCATGGGTGGACGCAGAGAGGGACATTGCACTTCTGACACTTTAATGTTGTTTGCCGTTACCTTTTCTGCACCTTGGGTGTGTGGGTACACACATAGCATCTCCTGTATCCCACAAGAGGGTCAACAAAGCTCCAATTTGGCCATTGGTGTGATGTCAGGAAGATTAAAACATTTCAATCATTTGGTGGACAACATTTTCACAAATGTCTAGCAGTGACTGGTTACTACCAGTTTTTACTTGATGTAAGTACTGTAGTAACTATTAAGAAGCAACATATCTAGCATATGGAAAATAACTTTTATTTCTTTCTACATTTATTCTAACAAACGTGGACTCTCTTTCAACTTGTTATGTCTCATCAGTGTCACATATCCCTCCTTCATGATGCACAGAATGTTCTTAATGTTCTGTATCACTTGCTCACCACTCTTGACCACTGGAATATTAGCCATGCCGTTTCTGTTTGCTCACACAGTTTTACATGCTCCAGTATTTTCCTCAAGCAAGTATAGAAAGAGGTGTGGGTTTGTGTACCTATTGTCAATGTAGAGTACTTGTGCTTTCTGTAGATGAGTCAAAAATGTTTTGATAACCGAGCCAGAAATACCTAGATTTGCAGCATGCACAACCTTTATTTCCTTCCCAGTATACATATGAAATCTGAAATATAACCACTATCACTGTCACAGAGTACAAAAATTTTACTCAAAAACAATGATGCTTTGAAAGTTACACCTCCACTTTGTCAGGCTCTCCTCTATGGAGACATTTTGAAAGGGTCTGAACTTTGTATTAGAATTTGTGTGCACATAATCATAAACTGGCCAAATTTTCTGTGTCTTATCACCTTGAATAAGGTGTGTGTTGTCAGTCACAGTGTAAGCATCAGTTATACCAGATTGTGATGAATCAGACGCAAACTGTATTGGGGTGAATGATGTGAAGACCTAGTCTTGCCAGCTCTTGTCAACGTGTGACAGTTTCCTTGTTCACTGCACACGTGGGTTATTGTCACTCCCTAGCATTCTCCGAGTCACTCTCCTCACATATATCCCCTTATTCTTTACTGTTAGGCCAATATTCATCATGTTAGTAATCATTCATATCAACTATTTTATATCCATAAAAAATCTCTTAGTGATTTGCACTGCCTTGCCATGCTGCTGAGATTGAGGTGGCAGCAGCATAAAGATCCTGTAATCACTCCTTCGACATGATGAAGCACACTGGTCCATTTACTCAGAATTTTTTTTTCATATCGTATGGCAACACTTGAGGGATTGCCACTTAGCCTACTATCACTAATATTTGGCCACCAAATTGTCGAGTGCAAAATTTGAAGATAGGTGTCCTATATGTATCAGCCACAGTGAAACCTCAAATTGCAGTGAA